ATAACGATTTTTTATACTAATTAAAAAAACAAACGATCTTTTTGCTCGACTTCTAAACTTTTGTTTAGAAGGTATTGATCACGTTATCTAATTATCAATTATAATATCGTGAGGAGATGCAATTATTCAGAAACGCCCTGCATATTACGTACTTGTGTGCCTGCTGAAATAATGTCGACGACGACGACACTCGCACGATTCTTTCGTATCGTGTGCGATCACTCGCGAGTATCTATTCGGATCTAGTTAACGAGAACGTTGTCCCGCCGAGAATTTCGCGGACAAGCACCGATGTAACGCGATTATCGGATTCACTCGCGAAGGAAAGAAATGGCGAGCGACGTGGCCGACACGATCGGCGATTAATCAAACGAAGGACGGTATACCAGAATTAATTAGTTACCACTAAGTCAAAGGCGGCATTTGTTCGAGCATGCAGCAACCTTCGCCCGTTCAAAAAATTATTTGTCATGTCTCTCGCCAACTAACACACCGTGCCACGATCCATTAACATTAATCAATGACAATTAATAAACAGTTCCAAAAAATAATAATAATAATCATAGTAAGAAGAGTAATAAGTATTACAGACTGTGCCGCCATGGCAGCCCGTACGTGAAGTAGTGACAGAGAACTAACAAAAAAAAAAAAGAAAAGAAAGAGAAGATATCGAAAGAAATTGCATCGAAAAAGAGAAAAAGTAAACGAAACAAGTGAGAGACGAACATGCTTTCTCGTGTCTGTTGTGTTGGTTCTTGCACATTATTTCTGTCACACGCGATTATCCTCGCGGAGATTCTTGTTAGCTTGTGCAATATGCATCCTGATTTAAACGATTATATGTGAGAATAGAGAGACGAAAGAACGCACGAGAAAGACAAAAAAGAAAGAAAGAAGAAAAAGAGAAGAGACGGAGAAAAAAGTGAGAGAGAAAAAAAATAAATTAGAAAACACGATACTGAAAGTCGCTTTCACAAACTACTTCGCAGCTTTGTAATGTATACGTTATGAGTGCACATATGTTTGTTAATCGTACGATACTGCCAGGACGGATTATCATACGTGTGAAATTACAATATAATAAATATGTGTCCGCGTGCATATAGCGCTAACGTTTTACTGCGAAGAACACATATGCACGCGGATACATACGGCATATCGGTATAGATATATATATATCAATATATATATGTAATGTATATATATATATATTCACAGGTGAATCTCATATGAAGGCAAGCCAAGGCCACGACATGAGACGTGCAAATTAAAAAAGGTAATAATATTAAAAAAGAAGCAAGTAAAAAATTCTCTCCCAAAACCGCTCCAACCACAACCAAGCACAACCACAGGCAAGATACGGGCCTTTATGTCAACGAGACAGTCATCAACCAGTGAATGTGGCGCATTACCGTGATTATTATATGTAATAGTAACAATTTAAAAAAAAAAATATCTATATATATAATGTATGTATATATATACGTATGAGGTATACGAAAGGCGGGTTAAATCGACGATAGGGAGGGACATGTAAAAGAGAGGGGAAGGGGCATGTGGAGCCGGTTTCAGCGGATTCGATCGGGTAATTCGATTAACTGATCCTCGTTAGCAATTCCCCTCCCCCCCAGCTTCCGTTCGCGCTACGGTCATAGTCGTGAACGCGAACGCGAAGGGGAGTCGTTTCGCAGTTAACCGAGGTTAACGCTAATCGACGTCGAGTGCATTTGGTGTTCGTGGAAACTAGGGCTTCGAGGAGGAGGACTCGCAGGACTCGTCGGGGAGGAACGAGGCGGAAGGGGGGGGGGAACTATTAAGTGGAGGAAGAGACGAGTCGACGGTGTGTCCCGATTAATCGAACTGGCGGTGTGAGTGAATCAGTATAAATACGTATAGAGAGGACATACACGCAAAACAAGCGCGGCGACGATGCCGAAGGGGGGCCGGGGGTGTGGATTAATCGATTAATCTTGCATTTCGGGACACGAGAGTTTTTTTTAAGGCGGCCTAGGCGGGCAGCCGGCACGAGACTGTGAAGCGACCAAAAGTGTGTGCCAAAAGAGGATTGTTAATGATCATTATATACGACATACTCTCGCAAGTCAATCATACGGAATTATTATGTACGTAACGTAAGTACCTCATGCTTTTACCACTGGACAGATATAGAGCCCTAAAGATTAAAAGCTACCAGGCGAGACTTTCGTATCGTATCTCGGAGATATACTTTGGGAGTTGTGGGATGTCTCTCCGAGATTTCGCGACGCGCCTCTTTTCCTCCGACACCTAGCGTTTGCATCCGAAATTCGCCAAAGTTCAATTTCGCATATGCATTATGTGTAATACATTTTCCTCTTCTCCCACTAATTTCAATCATATATATATATATTATTTCCATCTCTTCCTTCTTTTCTAAGAAATCGGTCTATATATTTCTCAGTGTACATTTTTACACAGAGAGATCGCGCTAATACGTTTAATTTAATATGACAGATTTTTCCTTCTTCTTTCTCGTAAAAGAAGTAAAAACGAAGACGCCGGGCTGAGAAAAGAAGCGCGTCCAAATAGATTCATCCATCACACCTCGTCCGGGTGTCGCGCAGATTTTATTCATTTCGCAATCCTCGCACATTTCGTGCCTACATCGTCTCATCATTGTTGTTACTTGCTACACTCGTTCGATCCCGCTCTTTTTAACTCTCTTTTTTTTGTTCGTTTTTGCTTTTTGTAGGAAGGGAGCCGTACCTTTCGGAAATCATCGTATTCGTGAGCCTCTTATTCGATTATCGCTCGTGTCTTCAGTCTATCTCCAAGGAGTCCTTTTCTTCGGATGGCATCGTTCTTCCATAAAAGTCCTCTTTGGCCTTTCGCATTGCGACACGAACAGTTGTTCGACTGCTCTCTTCCTGATGTCCTGCCGACGTTCCTGGTTCTTTCGTGCCGTTGAAGTGTCACAGGACGTTTCAGTCGCAAAAGCACTCGTGATTATGTTTTACAGCGTTTTCGCAGAGATGGATTCCGTCAAAGTCGAGCCATATGTTTTCCAGAATATTTAATATATTTTTGTTATAATTGTATTTTGGAAATTTTGAAAATTTTGATAAAAAAGACTTTCAGTTTCGAGTCCTTCCACTTTCGCTTTTACGAGCGAAAAGCCCTGCGCGATTTTATGTGCTCTTTTTAACGACCCGTGGATCGCCGTCGTGTGTTCAACCAATGTAAGCGTAATCTCAAAATAAAAAGCCTACAGCATGCATCATCAAAATCGTCGTCGTCGGTACAAAGTAAGTTTTCGGAAATTATAAATGTTAACAAAATTCGAAGCCGATTCCTGACTTCGCAATTTCGCGAGTTAATCAAATTCACGTAACCGCGCGATTCCGAGAGCGTTGTCTTTGCAGATTCAGTGATTCAAGCTTGGAATTACGCGATTTATCTTCAAGTTCACGCATAATGGTCGTCAGACGCCGCGTCGCGAAAGCAATAAAATCTTGCATGTCGAGAGAAGCGAATCTTTTTCTTACCCGGCAGCAATATCAATTTTCCTCGCACGTCCCCGACGCGACCACGATAGCGCGACTGAAGTGAAAGAATTCTGACACGAAGGTAAAATTGGAGAAAGGAACGGACCGGCGCAACGGGGAGGAAGAAGACAGGAGTGCCGGGAGAAGAACGTAGAAAAGCGGTATGAGATGGAATGAAAATTGTTAGGGGACGCGGAATGCTTCGGGAACTGCGAAGCAGAGTAGTAATATCGCCGCGAGAAATGCGAGGTTGTGGGATAGATGAAAAGACAGAGAGGTGAGCGGTCCAGGAAGAGAGGAAGGCCCTCGACTTCCGGATCTCTCTTCGAACGCGCGAGAACTCGCTCTTTTCCGCGTGTCTTTTTCTTCATCCCATCGCTAAACTGTCGCCCACGGTTGTGCGGTCGAGCGTAACTCGTAAGGGCGAATTTCGAGAAAAATTTTCGAGGAAAAAGGAAAACAAAGAATCTTTTTTTCAAGGCTAACGCGTAGATTTGCTCCGCGTACGAGAGGGTAAAACATGTGACTAATGTGACTTAAATACTTTCGCGTGACTTGGAGAACAGATTTGCAGAGAGTATACCGAACGACGACGTTTCGATGAATAGACGGAGAACAGAGCGCGTCGACGAAAATATCTCGACTACTCACGGCGGAATACTTCCGCGAAAAGACCGAGGAGAGAAGTGTGCGAAATGAACACATCGACGGAGCGATCGCATAGTTAAACAGGAAGAGAGAACTAGAGAAGAAGGCAGATATAGTCATAATGGACTAAATTCGTTTGCTTCGTTTGCCACCTTTTCGGTATACTTCTTTAAAAGAATCCATGAATTTTGAAATGAGACTATTTGGCAAGCTCAAGTTAATTATTCTTCTCATATGATGTTATCACCTTATATAATTCTATGCAAAAAAATGGTGCTAAAATTTCAAGGTAATCCTTTAAAAGTTTAAATGACTCGTATCTGCAAATTTCCTGTTCTTCTTCGATGAATGATACATACATGCATGAACGTGCAATCGTGAGAATCGGTTTTCGATTGACTCGTTTCGATGTACAGAAAGTAAAAATTCCTCTTTATTGACTGAGATGTGACAAATCGGTCCGCTTGTACGTCACAGATTTCTTTCGACAAGAACAAGCTCCTGTATCGATTAACGATTTGCTTCGTTACTGCTCGTTTTGCTCCAAGTTTCGATAATACAGCTTGTCTTCTCACGACATTAATAAATTCTATTTTGCATAATTAAAGTAATTTTAACTACATAAAAGATAACAAAATATTTTTAAACCGTGTCGTTATGTAAAATAAAGATGAAAGCACACACGTGCCTCATATTTTATTTATACCCATGCATCAGAATTTTTTGAAAATCAATATTTTAATTTTTAACTGAATTTTCAATTTTCTGCAAAAGCGAATCTTTATCAAATTTTGGAACAAAACTGAACATTATCGATACTCATCGATATAGAAATATTCATGTTTATTTCACATATAAAATTTGTGCTGGTCTTGTAGAAAATAATGATTTCCTCTTTACATTTGTCACGTTTTCGTTCTCGTTTAACTTATTCATTTTCATTGTCACTTTCCTCGTCCGATTTCTGGATTCTAATCTTCTGTGTCTACAAATACCTCCATGCTCACTTTTCGTAGAACACTTAATCGTCCACACACAAACACTTATTTGACGATTAACTATGTAGTCTAATCGCTATGCAACTAACGCTGTGTGTCTTAATCTATTAAAAAGTATCTGAGTAAGCCTATTTTCTACGTTTGAAAAGTGGGGTATTATGGCACACGATTGATCGATGGATCAGTAAAAGGCGGGATAAATCACGATCGCGTCGTTTATATACGGGTTATTTTTATAGCGAATTACCCCAGTTTACTCGTCTGGCAAGTAATCGATGTCACGATCTTTGGAATGTCGGTTTAACCCTGCAATAGAGTACAGTCATGCGGTTGCGTAATACTGTTCTACGTTCCCGTGGATCCTGCAAGTGCGTTTCAACGCTAAGCTCGGCAGCGAGCGATCCCTCGCCAAGTGTAAAATCACATTATATAAAAATAGACAGTGGAATGAACGCGACTGGTGCGGGTGAGTTAGAACCCACTTGCAGAACCACGTGATTCTACGTTATTTTATCTAATCGGCACTTATAAAAATGCAGTCGTATCTCTTCTGTCCTATGTGAAAACGTTATATAATCTACGTACACTAATTACACGAAATATCTAAAATAAAGATCACTTAATCACAATCAATACCCTGTTTTTTTTTGGTACGGTAACCTATACTTATGTTCTACAAGCATTACTCTTTATTATTTTGATAATCGACGACAAAATCGTCGAATTTCGCGAAGATAATAAACAAACGAGGTAAATGATGTAAAAAAAATTAAAATTTTCCAGTCTCAATTGTAAATTCGTAGATATACGTATAAAAAAATTATTTATCCTTAAAACTCTATTACCCTGTATTCATTTCGTTAAATCTAATATATAAGTTATTCCGAAATTATCGAGTAATTTACCTGCCACTTGACTTTACGAAACGCGTTTGCATAATACATTTGTACCAAACTATGAGCAAAATATAGCAAATCCGTCGTATTAATATATTCGATTTAAAAAAAGCGGAAAAAAAGTTTCGCGATATGTTACCGTCTGCTATTTTGGCAGACTGAAACAGTCGTACATTCAGATAATGGAAATACCATTCGAGTCGGTAAATATATAATCAAAGGTAGAAACGCGCCGATGTTAAATCCCGATTTTACAAAAACGATATATCCATATATTTCAATAGATTTTCCCTGTATAGAAAATTCTTTTCCGTTTGTAAAAAAAAATCAGTAAAATAAAAATACCTTGAATAAATAAAATCGTATTTTCAATTTCCATCTTTTGTGCGATAAAATTTAGCATGTGAGAGATATAATAACGCGATGGTAAAAGCATCAGAAGTCCGCAAATTCGCGATCACGTTCTCACTGCGAGAAATGCCAGAATTATGATGCGGAAACAACGCGACGCCTCGTTCCAGATTCTTGCCCGGAATCACGACTGCCGATTCCTTAAATCAATCGCCTCGCTAATCTGAAGTTCATGCGCGCACGTGGCATTCTATATGAGATCGAAAATCGTAGTTCGCGCGAACGTTTTCGTGACGATTAACTGCTTCCGCTCTGAACGCCATTTTATGCGGAGAGCAATGCGCATCGTAAAACAGTGCGAGAAAAATGCGATTCGATATGAACTATTAATAACACAGCGCTTTCTAATAATCCGCGACATTACAATAAATAATCGTAACGGAATATTAGATAGCATTTTTGCCTTAATATTCGTTAATCGTAAATTGTTCTTACGCAATGTAGCACCTCATCATCGTGTTATTTTTATCTCGACTCTCTCTTTCTCCTTTTTTCTGTTTTATACAACGCATTTTCCTCCGCACGAGCGCAAAAGCTGTTATTTCTTGTAGCTTTCTCACCGCGTAGAAGTAGAACGGGCGATGATAAGATAGGAGGACTTCGCTTCGGCTCGACAGGGAAACAACAAAAGAAAAATTGGTTGTGTGAGAGAAACTTAGGAGGGGCTGAGCATGGTATATCTCTCCTGCTGGACGATAGAGAAAAGGCAAGTACAATAAAAAAAGATATATATATGTATATATAGCGCAGGAGAGACAGTCTTTAATCCCGAACTGGCTGAACGACGAGCAATTAGTTGTAGGTAAATAAATATTCTGGACCACCCACCTTGCTTCTGCTGGGATCATCGAGAACCCTATAAAGAAAGAGACGCGAGAGATCCCGTTTTCGCGCGCGCAGCAGCGAGAATTCTGCCGAGCGCCCATTTGGGGCCAGCGTTAGACCTGTGTCACACAAGATCCATCACGATCACCGGAAACGATACACGAGAGCATCACGCGTTGTTACGTGTTGCTCTCACGAGGAGACGCGGCTCGAATGAACGGAGACGACGGGAAATTGTACGAGATTTTGTGAGCCCGTATTTTTGGAAAAAAAAAACTATCGCCACACGAAAGCCTCCTTATGTGATGTGATTGACTGTTATCAACAATTAATCAGCATTGTTTATAAATGTCTATTGTTACTTGTCTGAGGCTTAATTAAATAAATTCAGATTCACTGAAAGAATAATTTAATTGTATTGTATATAATCTGCGAAGAAATGATCGATTAGGATTAGATTCGCAGATCTGATTATTATAAGATCAATGATATCCTCACGCGAAGAATCATTCCGTCGACTCTATTCATTCGACGGCGCGTCTCTACTAAAATCGCGATATAGGAACTATTCCTCCGATCGGAATGTATCGACGTGAACAAAAAAAAAGAAAGGAAAAAAAAACCAAGGAACCTTTGTCCCTTCTCTGTGTGGCTATATACGTGACTATTTGTTTTTTGGCTTGGTCGTGGTGTGTGGCGGCTGTTGGAAAGACTTTTAAATAAATACGTTATCTCGAGAATGTTTCTCTCGCGCGATACTGAAGTGATACTGATGTTCCGCGCGCTCGCAACAAGACGAGGAGCGCGGGAGCCCGTCATTGTCATCATTGTCGTTGCCTGACTGGTCGTTGCCTTCAGGAGAAGCCGTGACAGTTCTCACGGATCTCGAAGTAGAGATTCAGCAGTGCCGGCTCCGGCACGTCATGGAAGCACCTACCCTCGGGCCACTGTACGCACACTGCAACAGATAAAAAAACAGACGGATCTTTACATCTGGTGTTTCTCCAATAACAACTAAAAAAAAAAAGCAATCACGCGGAGAATTTTACCCCGCGGTTAATACAGCGTTTTGTAATTCATTACGCGAGAACCTTTACTGATAAAGCCACCACATTTGTCGCACGACCGGCGAAGATAATTAATGGAGTATTTAGCGGTGTTCGCAATTACCTGACGTAACACGGTAACGGAACGTATATAGGGCAGATGGTTATTTGAATTAAGCCGAAAATACCCTGTCACCGTTAATAGTTTGCCAGTTTAAGAACGTAGTTATATCGATGCGCAATATATTTCACCGTAAAGAAAAATAATACAATCGATATAGTATAATTTCGCGCGCGACCTCGTTAGGATCTAAATTATTATGTAACTATCTCGTTTACTTAAACAAGAACTGTTATTACATTCTGAATTATTGTGTGACTATCTCATTTCCTTTAAAAACAGAATTGTGTGAACTTAATGATACAGCGTGTAAAGTTTGTAAAAAAAATTTGCTCGATTAATATCAATTTGAATTAATATCAAATTACGCAAGGTAATTTTGTGCGAACAATTATCCCTTATAGCAGCTGTGATTAAAACGCTCGTTCTTATTCTCCACAAAGCTACACTAATAATCGCTGGGCGTGGTTGATTGATTGCCACTAGGTTTTTAGGGTTGCGCCACAAGCTCATTCTTCCCACGAGCGTAAATTCCTTGTGAAATTCTTTCCCCGGAGAGAAGATTTCTCCGTGGTAAATTACCCGTATGGTTAAAATGAGAAAAAGAGAGATATCCACATTAATGTCAAAAAAGAGGTGGAAGGAAGTTTAAATAAATTCTGAGACAGAGTAAAATCGATCAATCTTAAATTTTGCCGTTTCATTAACAAAAACACACACAGTAACGTTTGTTAATGTAACAGATTAATAAATATTCTGTTACATTAACAATTGTATTTGAGCAACTATATTCGTATAGAAATAACGTATCTCTTTTTACGCGAAATATTGATTTCGTCAGGACAGCATAAATTTACTATTGTATTACGGAACGATACATTTTTAAAAACAAGTCTTCGTGATAAACGATGAATACCTAATACGGATAGAAAATGGATTTTATATCTCCGAAGAGGTAACCAGTCTCTTTTTGCGTAATTGGCCGCGGGAATTATGTAACAAGAAGATTGGTTCTATCGAGAATGGCCGCGAACTATCGACGGCGCACTCCTCGTCTTATAAAACTCGAGATTGCAATTTTCTTTCTCGAGACGCGGTGCGGGTGCGCTGCACGCTTCGATTTTGTTCCCGGGAGATGAATAAGGCGGGGACGAGTGAAGTTTGATGCCGAGCGCGTGATTTATGGGGCACTTTTTTTCCAAGATTATGCGCATAAAGATGCTTTAAAATCAAATCAGTTTTTACGGAACACGGAAAAATATGCGCCTGCACGAATCGCAAAATTTCCACTTTCATAATGTCCTATAATAACGCTCGTTGATGAGAGGCGAGATCACGCGAGAATTTACGAGTTTTACCGGCGTGTTCGTTCGTGTTCTACGCGCATCAATTATAAGGTATTTTGATTGAAATCCATTTGCAATTAATTGGTAACTTAATGCCTTCGTACAGTAAATTGCGAAACGGCTCGGTATCTCAGTACACGGTGTATCAGAGAAATCAATAACTATTCATTATTGTATCTGATGAACAAACAAATAAAACAGTGTATTTGACTCAATGCAGAGTGTGCCAAGTGTGAGAGGTGTTTGAGTTGGCTAATATAATAATAGCGCATAAAACATCTCGCGCAATCATAGCTTTAATTTCGCCCTACTCTAATTTTTACACACGAGCTTTCAGAACATTGCATATTACCACGATCGGTCCAGCGATCGGTCGCAGCAGCGCATTAATGACATGTGATCTATATGCGCGTAATGGGGCGCGATTTCGCATACGCCCAGCGTCCATGGCTCTGACGGACGTGAATACCAGCGGCGGGATTGATCGCGCGATTGCGTGCCACGCGGCTGTATCTCTGGCAAAGCAGTAATGAAACGGAAGGTGGCGAATTACTCGCCCTTCGCCCTTGCCCCCCTCTCCCGCCCCGACTACGATTCCCAACGGGGTAGGTCGGCCCGGTATCGCGTCGGGGATGACCCGTAAACGGGATGCCGGATGCGGTCACTCGGGTGTCCTAGCGCGAGCGTGCATATCTCGCGTCGGGATTTAACCCCGATTTTTGTTTCAGTTTCGACGAAGCACGCGCCGATGTAACGCGATAAAAGCGGAAACGAGCAATCGGGATGGCGGATCCCTGATAACGACTCGCCTTTGGAGGCACAATAACGAGGCGGGCACGTAAAACGCTTAATTGCCGAGGTTGCTGCGCACCTAAAATCGTGAAATCCAAATTTGCGTGAATTTCAACGATTGAATTTTATTTCATAAAATAAGAGCCATTTGCGTAATGGTAAATTTCGTAACTGAACTATATTTCACGGAGGCGTTTAGATTATAATCGTGGGAGTTGTAAATATAAAACTTGCACTTTTATTTTTAATAAAAAACGCGATGTCCTTGATTAAAATTTTGCGAAATATTTTATATTTTATGCTATTAAATCTAACTTGCATACTACACTCTTTGAAATAAAAATTTGTTTAATCATGATAAAATATTTTAACATATTTACGAGCGAACTTCTGTTAAAATAATTCTAATTACGCTTATATGTATTACATTAGACTTAGAAAATACAATGTTTAATTTTATGAGAACATGACCTGTGAGAAATTAATTGAAATTGAAATGCAAAGTTTCTGAGAAAATATTGTTGCGCAAGCGACATAATATATTCCAACCAAATAAAAAAAGAAATAGATAGAACATTGTTCTTTTAAATTCAAACATAAATCTTATTATGTGTTATTTTGCCGCCGGAAATTATTTCTTCTTTGATTTCGCATATAAATGGTGCGGCAGAGTTCATCATTATACGAGAAAATACAGAGAAGATAAGTATAATAAAAACAAAAATGTAGCACGAGAGGTAAAAGCTAAAAATAGAGATAAACACATATTAAATATCTCTTGCATAATAATTTCAATACTGTGAAATGGCTTCATCGAAGTCTCACATAAATACAATTTAATTGTACCAAATGGTGAAAGAAAGTGGACTGTATAGAATAATAAAAGAAAAATGCCAAAAAAATTATTTCTCTCTCGGCTATACTAATTTTAGGAATTAATCAGTGTATATATTTAGATAGTGTTTACGCAAAGAATTCAACAATGCAGAAAATAGGTAGCTTCGTCTTGCAACAGGCACGTTCGTTTACTCACGCTCGTATGCTTACCGCACCGTTGGGTGCCTGCTCATTTATATGTACGTAGCTACTTGGGGCAAAGGTGTAATTGCATTTTGCGGAATGGCTGTTGCGAAGATATCTACAACTTCGCCCTATCTCCGTACCGGTTTTCGGCGACATTCGCACACATGTATGCGTATAATGCGATTTCCCTTGATATTTCGGTATATCAGGTCAGAGCGCATCTTTAGACATGACGCGAGACCCGTGAAAATAGATGCGTACCGTCGCTCTTCCGTCATACTCCTCTACAAGGCCCGATTTCTTCGTAGCCCGCCCGGATTTATTTATCGAGCACGGTCGCGGCGGACAATAGTGCACGCTTTGCATAAAACTTATAGGATCTCGCGAACCGGCGTATCGAAAATATATCATGCAAATATTACGCAAACACGTTATGCGGTGGTGCGTGAAATTCCGCCCCCGTCCACGACCGCCCGGTTCCCCTTTTGTACGCTTTTCGTCCGTTCCGCGAATTTCTCGCGCGAAAATGCTGGCGCGCATATAAAACACGTTGTAATTCCATTAAACCCCGCTTCCGGTATTAACCGCCGGTACGGCCATGGCGGCCTGGCTCCGCGATGGGAATAAAAATAAAATTTTTTTAATAAAATGAAGCTTCCCACCGACCGCCGACCGAACTTTTTCGTTCCACTTCTCGCGCTTATTTCTTGCCGATGAATTGGCGAATTGCGCCGAGCATCGGGAAAACGAGAACGCAAGGAAGCGAACGGAAAAGTTTTGGAAAAAAGTGCGCGACCCTGCAGTCGCGAAATAATTGCGAGTGATTCTTTTTTTTTTCCTTTCTTTTCGACGGAAATGTTCTTCGTTTTAACTATACCGCCGCTTTGTAAGTACCGTCACAGCTGTAAATCGGATTGTAAAAAGTGTGCGGTGTTAGGTTATAATAATCCCATTATTAAACGAGAAAAAAAAGAGGACGAAAATCTTCTATCTTTAAAGAATGAAAATTTTTTCAGCACCAAATATCTTATATTTCTTATTGGGAGAAAGTAGAACAATATGATAAAGAGGAAAAGGATATTACAAAAATTGTATCGCGAACGCTAAGGTGTTGACATAATAATAGAAACAATGCGGAAAAGGAGATAAAAAAAAGAGAGACACGCAATTTCGAAGAAGACGATTTTAGAAGGAAAAGATTCGCGGGGAAACAAAGTAAAAGCTAACCGAAGGTAAAGTTTCTTACCGCGGAAGTGAGATATTACGTGCGATATCTTGATGCGTTGCACATTCGTTGCAGCGTGCTTTTTCTCGCCGCGGAAAGGAGTATAAGCGAAGGCGAAGGGCAGAGCGCGGTATACGTTCAGAAGAAAAAAAGAGAAGCGTGTAACGCGATTTAAGAGAAACGAGAGAAAGAACGAAGGGTGAGCGCCACGCGAGCGCGAGCAAATGTATGCATGCCACGCGGCGGGGCGTTATTTACGCGACAATTAATGAGCAGCGAGACTTTGCGTAAATTATGGACATCACGTACCGTGAGTACCGGGTGTTCTCACGAAAGCGGCGAGCGGAAGCGCCGTGAAACGCGAGCTGCTGCCAAACGGCGACGGGGAGAAGATAAAGCACAGCAGGGTGAAAATGTCGTGATCCTAAATATTCGCGACGTTTCGTATCATCGAAAAAGTTTCGCCGCTGCCGTTACGATTACGCTACTGCAAATAAAAATGTTAACTCGTTGCTTGACGCGGTAAAATGCGTTAAAATGGTAAAACCTGGGACACACCGGATGTAATCATAACGTAGTGCACATCCAGAAAGACGAGCGTTTTACATTTAAAATTAATTTTTAAACAAAACGCATTTTTTTATTAAAAATTTCAATTGTCATAAAATTAAATCTTTGCTGCGTTTAATGTAGTTGCAGAGACGAATTATTTCAGGCGGACGTTATAAACTTGTCGAACATCGGTAAATTTGGTACCGAGTTAAGAGGATTGAGAGGACCGTGGCATCGTTGCTGAAGAAAAAGTGGGACGAACGGGGGCAAGTATGCAATTTTTATGACTCAGCTTCTGTAAATCCTGTCGATCCGGGATATATATAAGGGTGGAAAAACATGTACCAGGGGTGGAAAAGCTAGTCGGCGGGGTCGCGCGGCGAAACTTGTTCGGGCTCCTTTCAACGTTATTTACACACGTGGCGTATTACGCGGTGAAGGGTGAGGTATGGGAACAAGAAAGAGCCCACATGGCCAGAGGTGAAATAAATTTGCGGTTTTGCACTTGCGAAAACAACGTACTCGGTACATCGCACAGGTTTAATAACTAGAAACAGCTAACCAAAGATATACAGTACTGGTTAAAATTGCCGCTTTACGTCTCAGAACGATAGAAATAGGCTGCATTCGAGGAGCGCGCTATTAGCGCTATTGCATCATTCTGTCTTTATCGTTCATCAGGTGTAAAACAAGGATAGAACAAGCAAATAGCGCTAATAGCGCGCTCCCCGAATCCAGCCATAATCTTGAGATGACGCGGCTATTCACGTTACACTGATAGTTACAGGATAGAGAAACTTGGATCGGTTCTAAAAGTTACTAATTGCAAAAATATTCACAAATTTCTTTTTACGTCACAGGAGGGCAGAAATAACTTATTTTTGAAGGCACATGGTGCCCGAGCGAAAATTATAATGACTATATAATGAAGCGGATTACGAGAGCTATATTTGTCACCCAATAAATTTCTCTATAATTAGAAACGTGTTCTACTTTTACAATGGGGTCGATTCGAGACTGCACGCGTACAATTATGTAATTGTAGACCGTAACATATGTCAACCATTTTTAAATGGTTACCACAAACGCGGAAAATTAATGCAATATGTTACATAAATTATACCGCGTGTAAACTAGATAGATCGAATTAAATGTGTTTACATATATCGAGTTACACGGGGATTGTGCCATACTAATTCCTGTTTCTCTTAAACAAAAACGAGAATAGCATAATGAGAAATCTAATCGCACACACTCTATTCATCTACATCAACTCTAAGATCTGCATAATTATTTTCTTTTTAATATTATCAACATCTGAAAGTGCGCGGTAAAAGTTCATGGAATAAAATTTAAATGTCGCATTTATCATTTATCTCACGTCTCGAACTTTCTACTCGTAGAAGTGCGAGGAATAAGAAAGATTCGTGCGGAGCTCTTTAGAGCGATTAACATTTCTCATCACGCTTAGTGACTTCTCTATTCTTCTTGAATTTAATCACGATGCCTCGCAGCTAAAAAATTCAACAAAGTTACCTTATTACATTTTCACCGATTAAAAGTTAGATGCAAACATTTGAAAAATGTCAAGGCACCGCATTTGCGACAACGCTGCGACGCCGCGGCTATACTGTTGCGATATTGTCAAACGCGAGAGATCTGTCACGAGGCGCGGGGTGTCTCGGCCATTCCACTCCATCGAGAATCGACAGTTGTCGAATCGGTTATTAGAGGCGTCGCAACCACGCGCGCACCTGTACGCGCCAAATGGCCCGAATTGATCTTAACGTCTCTCCGAGCGCGCCCCGAGGGCGCGAGCCTTAGCATTCCGATAATTGCATGTCGCGTGCGTGGGCACAGGATTAAACCTTGCACACACAAGCCGTCACTCGATAGGACGTTGCCACGACGTGGGCGAGAATCAATTCAGTCGCTGGACACGAAGTCCTGTTGATTTGATCGCAATTAAGCCAGGCGAACGCATTGCAACTGCGATATCAAACGCGCAGCGGCCTTATATGTTACATTGAAACTGATAAACTGCAATATGACATGGCACGAATGTTTTGCCGTAATTTTTATTTTAAACAAATTCCTAATCGAATTATTTGAAGAGATTAATTATAAGAAATAACGACGATCTTGATGACGTTGAGATGTCTATTTAAGAAATTTAAGCAAGAAGAATCTAACGATAAATTAAGAGAATGTCTGTTGAAGCTAATTGCACACAACTTACATTTTAAAGATTTAAAAAAAATTTTTTAAAACGCATGAGAAAAATAAAGTTACAAAGTAGTTAATTTGTTGTTTGAGAACTGTTCTGTTCGCGTTTGATTCGAAATCATGTTATAGATGCGGTTATAATTGGAGGTGCCGATAGACGCCGACGTCATTCGGCGTCCTTTGTGAACTCGAGAACCCGCTGACCAGAATTATATTCACGTTAGGAAACACTTGGCAACGCGCGTCCAATCGTTATTACTAGTGCCAATTATTTATAACATCAAAGTCGTGCCGCTTCGACCCGCGATGTAGAGGTCAACGTAAATCTCGGTTAATCTTCTTAAAGATTCATACGTAATACATAGAAGAGTTGTGAAAAAAATAATAAAGATCAGTCGTCTCTAACAAAAAGTTGTAAACACTTATTATCAATGTCATTTATTATTAAAGTTTTACTGTCGTTACGATGTATTATTTTCTCATTTCTTGGTATTATCTCCTTTGTGTTAAAATATTCCTTAATTCATAACGTTATATATAAACTTTTTAATCAGTCATAAACAGATGTCTAGAGTTCTGTTTTAACTTTATTGTACAATGCTTTAGCGCATTCGGTACTTGACAATTAATTACTTTTGTTAACTAATCACTTTGTGAAACCCATGTAATTTTACAAATATCCCATAAGTATAGTTTTAGAGAATTTTGCAAAGCTTTTAGGTATTAAGTGTGACCTAGAGATATCTGGCAGACTGAAGGACTTCATAGTGTAATCAGCGGAGAGCCTATTTGAGCAGTAACCGGTTACGTAATACCACATATTTGCAACGTGTTCTCTTCGCAGCTGGTGGTCCGTCAGATAATCCGGATTAAGCCGCAATTTAAATCGGGCCGTACGACCGGACCGAGGTTAGATTTAGTTTAAAATCCAGTTCTCTGGCATTACGCGTGTCGCGCTCATAATGGACGTGAGCACAGTACAAAATATGTCTAATTTATCGAAATTATTTTGCACGACATGTTTATTAAAGAGTCAGCCCGAATTCTATAAATTTCTTTTACAAACGTGAATAATTAATTATTTAAATTCCATTATTGATTCGGAGCGAAGAGTAAGTTGTTTTCTACAATGTTTTGTTCGATAAATAAAACATTGTAGAAAGCAGCTTACTCTTTTTACGCTCAAGATTTTCTATGCAAATGTGTACATACATTTTTCCGATACTGAATTTGAATTTTAGATTCACATAGCTAAACCAAATATTCTTGAAACGAAAAATATATATAGAACATATGTGTAAGTGTATATGTGTAACCATGTAGAATATTTTTGTTCGCCTACATTGAGCAAATTTCCCATTGCGATGCACGGAAGAGAAGTGTAAAAGAAAATCGCAGAATTTAAAACGCCCTGCGAAGCTTTCCTTCGTCTTATTCCGTAATAAGAGAAGACTTTTGCATCTTTACATCGACGAAGTCAGTGAATGTATTATAGAAAATGTATATTTCTCGCGCAATATTCTTCGGGAAAATACGCTCGACGTTTGTACAGCATAGATCGTGTATGATAGAAATGATATACGAGCTATATTTTTTTATTATTTCATACGGTAGACCGCCGGCCCCTGTGTGCGAGCAATACGCGCGATCGGCTATTTTACGATTCGCTTTCAAAAGCACGGTTGTATTTTTCTAACGAGAGCTTCAGCTATACGTTCCGTAAAACTTCAATTTCACGCATCAAATACCCGCAAGCATAATTCACGTCAATACTATATAATCTGAATATAATCTCACGTTAAGAAAGATAGCTTTCATTTTATTCAAGCGATGCAGAATTTTTCGATTATTAAACTTAACCGCAAGAAAAATGATTTTAAGTTCTAATCAAATTATATCTGCTCAGATTTACGACTCTTCTGCGCAAAATATTTCTACTCCCAATATTTTTACCAATATATAACTCGGTAATATGACGCAGGATGCCCTATATACGATGTTTAAGCTTAAGGTTCTCTAATGGAACCTTGTCATAGCTTGGGGCATTTAAGTTATATCAAGCGACTCGGAAGAAAGCTCCGAGGAGCAAAAGTTATACGGGAAGATAAAAGTAATAAGAAAGTTTCGGCCCACTTACCGTTCGGCACCGTCGGCGGTTTTTTCGTCTGTACCCTCGCTGTTGCGTTGTTCACCTGTCGAATTAAGAAGAAGCAGGTATTAGAATAACCGAATTGTTTCCAAACTATAAGAGATTTCCAACTAACATCGCCCATCATCAGGATCCGCGCGTAGCCACTTTATATACCGAAAAATTATTAAAAATCCTTAAAAAAAGAATCTTTGGATGAGAGTCTCTATGCATGAAATACGAAAAAAACTTTGGAAAATTGCCATCCATCAGCGACCTATTAAATTCAAAAAGTCCGAAACAATAACACGATTTGATTAAAGTTAATTATCGGCAGGAAAACTATGTGGAGGAGCTTCCATTGAAATACTCACGAACGTTGCAATAATTATCCCATTAATGGAACAAATCACGGTCGCGTAAAAGCGATGTTAAGTCATAGAAAATACGCCTGAGTTGAATAAAATGTGAGAAACTTTGGCAATTTCACGGGGCCGCGCGCGCGGATCCTGTAATCAAATATGCATTGTTCGATGCGGAATCGGATTTGCAGAGCGCAATTTGCAGCTCTGCGGCTCTGACTTTATTCATCGTGAAATTGTAATTTCGGTTCAAAATGCGATAATCATACATATTCCTGCATCGAACAAGCGAATTATGAGTAATGTTTAATAAAAGATTAAAAATTACGTAGGCGATTGCACGTTATTTTCCTCTGATTGCTTTTCTTTAACGCGACCTGTTTCAATTATATTCACGTATCAAATTCGACGAATGGTGATCATTGTTTCACGCTATATTGGTTACATAAATTGCGTATGTCGTATGTTGTATGTACGTACACAACGATAGGTGCTTAAAACGTGCAAACGCTACACAAATTTTCACTTGAATTGGGAGATTTTTTCTGCCATTCAATTTTGGCCTTTGATACGTAAATTTGCAATCAAGCATGTATCAAACAAATCAATTTATCAATTTAAAAAATAATTCAGGAATTGCGACTTTGACGAAACGTACATTCAAAAAAGAAAAAAAAATTGTTATCAAATTCACGTATCAATTATAATATAACTATTTCAAAATACGTCCGAATTCAAGGAATATTCTTAACATTAATAAACATATAGATAACAATATATAAAAATCTCTTTTCAAAGCAAAAGAGAATTTTCTCTTTTACAGTTTCTAACTTCCAAAATAAAGAAAAAATATTGTTCGATGTATATGATAAATTGAACGAGAAACTTGAAATAAATAGTTTTTCCGCACAAAGGTATTCGAATGATAAATGTACATCAGATATATTTTACACGTTATATATATTTTTGGAATTGGATTGAAACCTATCGCAACTTTATTTTCAGAGAACAGAAAGATACCATTTACTAAATTTGGCGTTGGCATTATTTCAGAAGTTAGAAACTGCAAAATTCTTCGCGGTCGACGAATTTAACGCTCTAGTAACGATCGACGATATATTATCCGACAATGCCTGGCATTATGTAACTTACGTTTATTTGTCGCTTTCTAATAAGCATTACAATGTTGCATACGATTGGCGTATCGATCCGTGAGCTAAATATCGACAATAAAACGATTTTAGTCGCACCGCGTATACCGTAACTAATACAACGGCCGCGTACAATACACGCTTAAATAGCGTGCGAACAATTCTCGCGTTTAATCTCGTCGACTCGCAAAGAGAGCTTTACATGCGCGTCAATTGTTGAGAGAGGAAGAGAGAGAGAGAGCAGAGCGAAGGAGCACGACGACGTGGTTAAATAAAAGTCAAACATGTCGACGGGCGCAACTAATTTGTTTTATTATGCGCTTTACGAATATCAGTTTCGCGGGACAGTTTAATGAAAGTAATAAAAAAAAAAGAAACCGATTGCTCTTTCGCATCTGTCGGGTTTCCTACGCCCTCTCTCTCTTTCTCTCTCTTTACTTCCCAACGTAACCGAGAAAACAATGGCACAAGCCTTCCGTCGATTTCCGATTATTTCAATTTCGCTCAAGTACCTTCGCGTCTGGCAAAAAGAGACGAGTTTCCGGGTGGATCGCGACTTGTTTCTCGTTCTTTATCGAACGCTTCGCTTACCATGGGTTCTTCTGCTTTGCTTTTTGTATCCTCCACCTACCTATCTAACAACCAGCCGCCCGCCTTCTCGTTTTCCTGTCCCACTTTGCGCCCACTTCAGCGGGGATACTATCGAGACACAAAGGATCTGCGATATCATACCGTACGGTACGGCATCGCGACGTTTCTACGTTCGAAGCGTGGTACGAAAACGTATGTCGATCCAGCACAAATGTTTCCCGACAGCCGTGGCCAAATAACATTCGGTTGATCTTTGAATTTCTTAGCGATATACCTTATTTACTCGAGCAGTTTTCCATCGTAAATAAAATAAAATTTTGCTATTTATGAAGATTTAATTATTATAACAAATAAGTATTTTAATAACGTTAAAATAAATAAGTTAGAGTATATATTGTTTAGGATACATATAAAAATAAAAGTTGTAATAATTACTTGCTCAGCATAATGTGTGTAATGCAATTTATGAGATGTGTTAATATTATTCGTCAATCAAATTTTTGTGTCAATCTATCTGTTCTTTCTAAATGACCCCATCATAATTTCGCTTCTTGAAAGATCTTCCACGAAACGTAATTTTCCTGCGCGATCGTAATCGAGAGGTAACGGTGAATTAAAATTATCTATCGCGCCTCCTTCTCGAATTCGCGGTAGTCAAAACGCATCTTGAGCGTTCGTGTATTGACTCTCACGAGGATTGCGAGTTACGGAGTTTATTCAGGCCAATCACGCCCGGCCTGGCGCGGTGCATCGTCGAGCAATTTGCATTTTACGATCTTGTTTCCGGTAACGAAGGTTTGGTAGTTACCGTACATCTCGCGTCACAGGTAGTGCATGGCTAAACGAACATTATTGGAAAGTTGAGGCTGAACGGTAGAGTCGGATGAAGATACAAAAGTTTTCGCGCTACGTAACGCGGTGTCCTCATCATTCATTTAGAGTAGAAAATTCCAAAAATAATACGTGATAAAAATTGTAAAATATTTAAGTTATTGTTATAGTTACAGAATTTTTTTTTAACCTATATCAATCCATAAAAATGTCCAAAAAAAAATGCATCTGAATTTTCTATGTAAATTTTTTTTCAATTCAGTTTTTGCCAGCGTCTAGTTTACCACTGTGCACGATGCTGCAAAACGTAACGTTGCAAAAATCGCGTTCGACTACACTTTAACGAACAAACAAATAAGCGAAGCACGAACCGACGGAAATGTTCGAATCGCGTGAATCGATTTACGTCGATAATAAACAAGCGTGACGACGCGTAAGCCACCTTGTTTCTGTCAAACAATTGCGGCACGCTGGCGAATTTTTGTTTGCGCGTGTCGCGCGCTCGCGAATCAGTGTATTGCATTCAACAGAGTTCAGTCGATGGAAAGTACCGCGAATGATGTATAACCCGAGTCAACCGATTGTTTTGCAAATTATACCTGCTGATATTAATGATACCAAGCTGACACCAACGCAACGGGCAATTTAAATTTTGGGTGTTATCACTTGTATTCCTTTATGCGCACTTTGGCAAAACGCTATATGTAATATTGTTGATCCGAAATTATACGGATTGTAACAATAATGCGAGACAATAAAATAAAATCGCGGTTAAATAATTTTTCTGATATTCCCTCGAAACGCAGATATAAATTGCGAGATTCGAATTATTGTTTAGCGATCATAAAATGGGCCAATATTTCTGTTGAGCTATTATTTTTAATAACGCGGTTAATTCTGGCGCATTAAGCTCGATTCAATTGAGGCCGAGAATAGACATATACGTATACACACGTATATAAGCGCATCGAATAAAATTCAGCGATCGAGATAAAAGTATAAAAGATCGATATCTCCATATATCACATTCTCGCCCTTGGTGAATCTTATCGGCGTACACCGAGGAAGGCTCTAAAGAGACAGTCACGGTCTTACGTGACTTTATTGATTCGGCAAGGAAAAAATTATGGATGCAGGCCACTGAATAACATGCAAACGACAGGATTGCAGCGAAAAAGTGCATCGACGGCCTTGTTATGCCACTATCTGTATAGCGTGAAGTATACCGCCTAAAATTATACGTAAATCAATATTACAGGTTTTTCCTCAGAACGTCCTCTGGTCAACGTTATCACATATTTAATCTCAAATGCTGCTTTATGTTCACATTATGTGCAATTTTTACAGTAGAAGACTATAAAATTGTGAGTTACGCAAGCATATTTAACATTAAGTGGCGATAACAATAAATTGCAATACTATCTCAGCAACAATTATTGTAACAGTAATTATAATCGCTAATTAAACCTGCGCAATAACCTGTGCAACGAAAACATATTTCTTGATAATAAATAGGATAATGCAAGAAAGAGATTTATTCTTTAGATAAATATTTCTTTTCAAAATTTTTAAGAAAAAAAAAGATCTCTCCTAGCTTAATGAAATACCATTTACTTCTATCCCGCATAATATCACCATCGAACGGTGCAATTGGCTACGGGCGGCAGACCGATGAAGGCAAAATGGTCGCATTAATCAAGACCCGTACAAGGACGATCGGCATTCGAAGGATTTAACAATCGACGCGATTCTCGCCGGCAACTCCTGCCCGGAGAATCTACGTTTCCCGAGCACTTATCTTGTTCCTAGGGGCCACGGGGGAAGGGGGGAGGTTCGAGAGAGAGAAGGCTCGATCCGGACTTAGGAGTTACCTTCGAGGCCGGCGGCCAGTCGAATAAGCGAAATGGCACTTTGGAAATTTCGAGCAGCCTCGCTTGTTCGCTTTCGACGAGCGGACATCTGCATAAATTTGACTTGCTAAGGCCGAAAACTCGACCAGCGGCAGACTGCGGGGCTGACCGTTCGAGGGGGTGGCATAGGGTAAAGTAACCTGTCGTTAATACCGGAAGCGATGTACGTAACCTATGACCACCCGACGTCGTCGCTTCCACCGGGTCGTGTTGGGATCG